TCAGTTCTTCGCACAGCGCACCGTGAACCTGCTCATCCCACAGTTGGACAACTTGTCCAGAAGGATGCTGTGAGGGACAGTATCAAAAACCTTACTAAAATCCAGAAAAACTATATCCACCACCTTCCCTTCATCCACTAGGCAGGTGACCTTATCATAGAAGGATATCAAATTAGTTAAATAGGACTTGCCTTTTGTGAACCCATGTTGACTGTGCCTGATGATTGCATTATTCTTTAAATGCCTTTCAATAGTACCCAATAAAATCTTCTCCATAATTTTTCCAGGAACTGAGGTTAGACTAACAGGTCTGTAGTTCCCTGGGTCTTCTCTCATGCCTTTTTTGTAGATTGGAATAACATTAGCTAGCTTCCAGTCAGCAGGGACCCAAACTCCCAAGACCTTTGGTAGATGATCGACAGGGGTCCTGCCATAACATCCACTAGCTCCTTCAGTACTCTGGGATGAATCCCATGAGGCCCCATGGACTTGTGAACATTCAGCTGATTCAGCTGGTCCCTTACAAGAGAACAATCTTTGGAAGATGGCTATGGTCTTGATGTTGTGGTCAAGATAATATGCATCTTGTAAAAGGTGTCTGAATTTAAGGTTGTGATAATTGACCTTGGCTTACTTCAAAAGTTGATTCGGGATTTGCAGAAGTAGAAAAGGAAAGGAGTGGAATTGACAAGACTTGAGGGCAAGGCAAATTATAGCCATTAAACTATCCACCTTTCAAAACCTGGGAATGAAAGGAGGATTCCTAAATCTTGGCACTCAGTTCTTTTCAGCAAACAGACCAGATGTTTTTGTCTGTTCCTGCTGATGTCTCACAACTAGGCCTCTACTGGGAGGTGCAGAAAGGTTTTCTGGGTCCCAGTCCAGTTGCGTCTTGGCCCCACGCTAAGATGTAGTCTTTCCTTGCCTCTGTCTCTCCCTTGCTTCTGACAGCACTGGCATGCAAGCCAAAGGGGAGCCACGATGTTTTCTCACACAAGCCCTGGTGTGGATGGCTGAAGGACAAGGACTGGAGACTGCACTCTGAAGAGTATCTTGTAGAAGACACAGCAGATAGGAGCCTTCTGTTGGTATCTCCTATTCTGTTACTCCAAGTTACAAGGATTTTGCTGTCATCCAATGTTCAGACCATGGTGATGTTGCAAAATGTGTCTGTATGGTTGCACACAAGAATCTTATTTTCATTTTACTTGCTTTTTAAATTAGGAAATCTCTTTTAAAATAGCATTAAGATTTTAAATTTAAAAGATCAAATGTTCTGAATAAGGCAGGAGTCTTGCAGGAAATATAGTCTATATGGTCTGCTGGTATCAGTATGTAAAACAGGGGCAAGTCCATGGCTACACAGATAAAACCATAATTCTGTCAGTCTCTGAAATAGGAATATTTGATTTCTTTGATCATTCTTTTAAACCCAGTATTAGTCTGATGGTAGCTGAACTGGAATGTTGTACTTTGTTCTTTGGTGTCTTATACAATTGTTATCCTTTGCTTTTCTGTTTGCTTACCATTAATTATATTTTTTCTATTTATGTATTAAATTTTGTTTTGATTCAAAGGAAATGTTACCAAATATGAAAAATATTGCCAAAGTCAAGTATGCTTTCCATCCAAAATACCAAAGTAATATATACTTCCATCCATAATTTGACTGAAAATGTACAGAAAGCAGTAATTTTCATATCAATATGTTACTTATGCAGAAGTTGCTGCCTTTGAAGGTTGCAAAAAAGGCTCTGAAGGTTTTAGGGTACAAAACTCCATACTTTAAGAAGCATCTTTGACTTTTGGATTTTACATGTAAATAACTAATGAAATATTCATTTTATTGATGTACGACTCTGATCTTTTATTTCCTCAGCCATTATGTACGTAATGGGAGCACTCGGTCCTGCAGCTGGATACTTGCTAGGAGGACTTCTTATTGGTTTCTATGTTGATCCTAGGACAACCGTTTATATTGACCAGAGTGATCCCCGATTCATTGGAAACTGGTAAGGATCAAGCATTTTTCAAAACTACTCTCTAAATTGCTGGTAGGGAATTGAGACAGGTTGGGAAATCGTAACCCTTGAGGGCTTGTTTAAGGTTGTAGAAGGAGGCCAAGGAAGAGGAGGTTTCTGTCAATTACTACGCACTAGCCTCTGACAGAGAGGGAATGCTTGCCACAGAAGTGCATGGGCACATTGCATGGAAAACCTCCTCTTTTGGCTGCTCCAGGGCTGTCTCTGACCACTGTGGGTGCTGACTGACAGCGCTCAGCGCAGGGATGGCAGGACAGAATATCCATGTTGCAGGAGGCCATTGGGGATCACTGCTGCCCAGGGCCGAGCCCTCCCTGCTGGAAGGTGGATTAATCCCCTCTTTGGTTTTCCAGAGCAGGCAGCACGAAACGCTGAGCTCTGCTGTCCAGATGAGAAATGGTAGACTTTGTTTACCCTGGTCTAGGAGAAGGAGGTAGGATGGGGTCAGAACATGTCCTTTCCAGTCTTGTTTCTCAGGGTGATGGCTCGTGTTTAGGCAGCAGATGATGTAAACCATCACATTATTCTCTAGTAAATAGTAGGCTTCCAGCAGTGCTGAGATTAACAGCCGTAATCGTTAGCTGATGTCTTTGGGCAGCCTTTGATATGTGGCCTCCTTGGAAATGTCTCTTTGAGGAAGCAGGTCTTGAGGAGGCTTTAACTGGGTTTTCTCAGATAATTCATAAATTTGCCTTGAAATTTTTATGCAAGTCCAGAAAAGACTTAAGTTCATTATCGCAGGAGGAGACCTCTACTTTCTAGGTGTAGGGTGCAGCGTCAGTTCTCATGCACTGGATTAGTGTTTGTCACTGTGCCATTGCAGTCAGATCGTATCCGTTTCTATTTATCCTGCAGTGATCTCTCCTGACAGTTTGATGTGAAAAATTCTCTCTTTGGAGTGTTCTTAAGCCTTTGAAGATTTATCACTGGTTTATTTGTCTTACTTAGTCCAAGAGCATTGCTGCACAGGACTGTCTAGCCGAATTTTCAGCAAAAGAAAGGCAAACCTGAGTGCTCAGTTAACCTATGACCTTGGGGTTAACGACTCTGTGCTCTCATGTATATACTGACTTATCTCACAGAAAAGATTTGTCATGTGAATGTGCTGTGGTGTTAAAAATGTGCTTTGACTATTCTTGAATAAAAGATTAGAAATCAAAGCAAAATATTATACGTTCTTCGTAAAACTCTCATGTTTCATGTGTTTTTAAGGACATGTCAGAACTGATAGTCAGCATCTGCTCAGTACTTTTCAACAGAAATCATGAACTGGCCCATAAATATATTTAATAATTGAAATCAGTGGGGCTATACAAATGTGGGGTAAGCTTTACTTTTGACTTTATTTATAATGCAACCACTGATGTAGCTGCCTTGTAGTGTAGGCATATCTGTGTGAGTTTTAACTTAAACAGCTCAGGTGAAGGTAAAAGAACCAAAGCAGCACGGACACATCAGTTTGCCACTTCTCGGGCCATTTGCACCAAGGTCTGTGCTGCAGGAGATGGATGGCCACTACTGCTCGTTTAAAGCTAGCTTGGATATATGTGCAATGTTGTCATAGCCAAATGCATCAGAGAGATCAGGCAAAAAAGTGCCTGTCCTTGCTCATGAATTACAAGTTTAACTATCCTCCCTCAAAAGAGTGAGTGGCAGGGATGGATGCCCAGTGCCAGGGATGGATCCCTGGCAACCTACCAGAATGCTGTAACCAGCGAGCTCCATAGCAAGAGTTGTGAGAAGTCACCTCTTACAACCATTTTTGTGGGCAGGCTTTGAGAATATCTACTGTACCAGGCCTTGCAAGCAAAATAGGGAAAAGAGCCTAGTTTGGGCATTTGGAAGATTTTATGTCAAATTGCTAAATGCATTTTATGGATCTCCAATGTTTAATGTCACCTGAACAAAGTATCTTGGTGATTTCCATTTTGCACAGGGGTGCCAGCAGAAGTGATGCAAATATGACTGAAGCAAGGGCAGGAAATGGGCTGTCATAGAATCTCAGCAGGCGAGTCACATTCTAGCCAGCATAGAAAAGTAAAAGTCATTCAGTTTCCTTTTTCCATCATATTGATTAAATCTGTAGAGACTGGCTTTCTCTGAAGGGTGTTTCAGGTCCTTGTATTACTTTTTCATTTTTGGCGCTCTCAATTTTTTCTCTCTTTAATTTCTAAAAAGTATCCCCTGCTATCAGATCTCTGGTAATTTGTTTCACAGTCTGTGGTGGCCTCTCGTAAAAGTTTGATGGTGTTCATAGCATCTGCGCCTCATTCTCTTTCCTCTTTCTGAAGCTTTGTCTACCCATTAAAATGAAGACTCTCAGGGTGCGAGGATTGGTCCTTTGTCCCTTGCTGCTCACTGACTGCCCGGTTGCAGAGAGCTCTGGAAGTGTAGACTTTCATTCCACTGAAATCTATTTTCTGGGACCGTGACATTTTCTCCTTGGAGGGAAGTGCTGCATAGCCAAGTTTATTTTTATTTATGTAATCTAACAGTTTGAACTATAAGAGTAGTCTAGCACTTACTTCAGCTGACATGCTTTTTAAAAGTAGGGTGCAGTTGAGATAAGTTAACAGGCAGTCATATTTGAGATTTCTCAGCCATGTCTCCTTTGAAGTGAATTAGTGTTTTTGATTCTCATCTTTCCTTTATTATTTCTGTAAGTTTTCTAACATAACTTATTGCAGGGACCCAATGGAAAAATTCCATTATTAAAGGAGGTAATGATTACAGACAAAATAGTAAGTACAGCAACTATGATTTATGGCAACAGAAATTACAGTAAAGTCTATTTTTTACTTAAGCTGTTCCTTTCTAAGAGGTATGTTGCATATATGCAGGACAGGTAACTTGGTTTCTTTCCTGTGAAGCCTGATAAACAAAGTAAGTGGTTATTTCTCAGGGTTATTTCTGATCTGATTCTTCCTTGAGTTTCACAGAACTTGGGTTTGCGCTCCTGGGTTTTGCACACCTGGGCTTTCTGTAGGTGCTCTGGGCTAAATTACAGCCCAGCTGTCTATGCCAGCCCATCAAATGTTTAAAACTGCTTTTTATTCAAATGTGGTAACTGTTGGGATATCTGTTAGAAATCATCCATCATGTTGTTGTCTTTGAGAACTGTTAATGTGCTATATAGGGATCTCATTAGTTGTGGAGTAGCCCTTGGCGGTCTGTCAGGTGCTTTGAATCAAATTTTCTTTTGCTGACATTTTTCTGAGTGTTTGCCTAGTTCTGAATCTGTTTAATACTTGGATCTTCCCATACAGTCTTTCATCGGCATTCCACACAAGAAGTTTAAAGGAATTCCTTCAGCACTGTCTGGTCCTTCCTTAGCTTTAATTGCTTTTATTTGAGGTCCTAGGGCTTGTGCAGATGCCTTTGAGGTATTCTCCTGCATATTTTCTTTGACTTTAGAAGACAGAAAATCACGGGCTTTTTAATTAATACACATCCGGTTCTGACCTCTCGTTTCCCGTTGTAGGTGTCCTTATTATTTCTGATACCATCTTTTGTCTGTTTTCCAATTCTTTGATATTTCTCCAGGAAGATGTGAAGTGTAGATGGTGCAGATAATTGCATCCAGTGCTGCATTTGTGACATCCCCAGCACTCGGTATGCTACCATAATCGTCCCTTTGGATTTGAATTTCATCTCGTCCTACATCACGGGGCCCCTGTCTCCTTTGCTGTTTCCTGCTGAGTGGGTGGTTTCAGATTTCTGCGTATTATTGCCACAGATTGTTTCTTTGATCAGTGCCTTTGAGATCCTGAAAGGGATATTACTACATTTGTATACAGTCTACCGATTCATTCCGTGTCTGGTAGTGCTGACTAATCCTCCTAAAAGTCTGCTTTCTAATCCATGTATGTTATCAGCTAAAATAAATGAATAGAGGATTTTCTGTTTACATAATATCAAAACTAGTCAAAACTTTCAGTCACTTAGATTTGCCTCGCAAAAGCTCCCTGTACAATCTTTCTAACAAAAATGGTGTTACACATGGCTGGCTGTTTGGTGATTGCCTTTGCATAACCATTTACCACACATGCATATGAATTTGCCTTCATTTAAAATTACAGTTTGCAATATCTTTGCATTACAAATATGAGGCCAAATGTTTTTGTTTCTTGTGCAAGTAATCCTGTCTACTCAATACTTTTAAATGTTTAATGTTTGAACAAATATATACTTAGTAGCTTCCTGTAGTAGCTTCCTTTTTTAAGTGTAAAGGATGTACAAAAAAAGTAAAAATTGTCCTTGTATTGGGTTTGCGTGGCAAGGTTTTGGTAGCAGGGGGGCTACAGGGCTGGCTTCTGTGAGAAGTTGCTAGAAGCTTCCCCTATGTCTGACAGAGCCAATGCCAGCCAGCTCCAAGA